TTTACAATCATGTACAGCTTATATATTTTGTGAACCATGCGAATGCTAACCAATAGTGTAAAAGAACACACTGAATGGCTAAAATGGTTAGACTGCAGGCAAGCTTACATGTATCTGTCGATTTAAAAACAAAAAGTGCACATATTAAACTATTTGCAAATAAGCAAAGACACTATTACAAAATCTAAGATGTACACTAATCAATTCTTTCACAGACTCAATAATTTTTATTTCCATAAATGTAGGTTCCTCTTGCAATCATCTGCATGATTCCAATTCATACCTTCATCACATATGACACACTTGCATACTCTCATCTCAGACCAGAAAAAAAAATTGAATTGAATGAATACATTGTAAACCACACACTTGTATTCATATGAATACATTGTAAACCACACACTTGTATTGATATGAATACATTGTAAGCCACACACTTGTATTCATATGGATACATTGTGAACCACACACTTGTATTCATATGGATACATTGTGAACCACACACTTGTATTCATATGAATACATTGTAAACCACACACTTGTATTCATATGAATACATTGTAAACCACGCACGTGTATTCATATGGATATTGTAAACCACACTTGTGTTCGTATGGATATTGTACGCCACACACTTGTATTCGTATGGATATTGTAAGCCACACGCTTGTATTCATATGGATATTGTAAGCCACACTTGTATTCATATGGATATTGTAAGCCACATACCTGCATTCATATGGTGATTGTAACCCCCGGTTTGACAATGTATGGTGATTTCAGAGCTCATACTTGCATTCATATGGAATTGCAAACATACTAGTATTTGTATTCATGTGGAATTGCAAGCATACTAGTACTTTTATTCATATGGTGAATGCAAACCACATGCATACATATGAAGATTGCAATCCACAATGCACGTTTTCATATAGATATTGCAAACAACCAAACTTGCATTCATGTGGAGATCACAAACCACCTAACTTGTTTTCATATGGAGATTGTAAACCACAAACTTGTATTCACATGAATACATTGTAAACCACACACTTGTATTCATATGGATATTGTAAA